GGCCATTAACGAGCTTCAATCAAGCTCTTCTCTAGAAAATCAGACAACAAAACGCCATTTTCACATAACCGTAATACCATCCAAACCATTACCAACATCCTCAAACCCAGAAAAATTTCCAAAAACCTTCACCATCCGTGTAACTCACCTTCAAAATCAAACTCAGATTCGTCTACAACCCAAAACCCACTTCGAATCTTTAACCCATGGCCAACAACTCAGCTTCAAACGGCTTCCATAACCTTCTTTCCGAAACTCACCGTAAACCACAAACCCACACACAAGCAAAAACGAGATGGAGGAGAACATGTGATTTTGAAACAGTGACAGAGAGAGAGATTGGAGATGGAGAAAACGAAACAGGGTGAGAATGAGAAAGAAGTAGTGAGGGCAAGCGTGAGAGTGATACGAAGAAGAAGAGGATTTTCGTCCTCTTGTTTTTTTTTCTTTTTATTTATTGTTTTATTTTATTTTATTTATTTATTTTGGGATAATGGGCTTTTAGCCCATCCGATCTTAGATCTACACATACTCCTCTGTTTTCATTCCTCACCCCATTTGTTCTTCTTCTTTTGTTTTTTTTTTATTTTAAATTTTGTATTATATATATTTTATTTATTGTAAATACCATTATTATTATGTAAATGTTACTATAATTATTTTTATAAAAAAGGGTCTGTTTAGGTTATGTAAATATAGGTTGAATTATTATTTTATAAAAATTGTAAATAAGTTATATGTATATATTAATTAGTTTTATTTTTATTTTTATTTTTATTTTAGGACATTTTGTATCTTTTATTTTTATTTTTTATATAGTTTGTATATTTTGTTTAGAACCTTTTTAATGTTTTATTTATAATTTCTATTATATTACTTTTAGAAGTTTTGAATATTATCTTTTTTTTTTATTTTTAAATTTCAATATTATTTAAAAGTTGAATTTCATTTCTCTTTTATTTTTGGACATTCTGTTCCACTTTTTGGTCGATGACGACGCTTCCATAAATCGATTACTAAGTCAATATATTGATAAGTATCGTTGGATCCGAGACCACCCCATTCTCTTCTCATCTCTTCTCTATTTAAATTTCATTTCGACTTATGGATCGATGAAAGCTTTTTATCCGCAAGCGTCAGATTTTCGAAGTCGATAACCTTCCCGATTTCAAATCTATGGGGGATGACCATTGAGGTCATCTTCCTTACTTTGGGATCGCGATAGGCTACCTTCGATTAATCGGCATTTTGTTTGCGGTTAAGACGAGATCCCATTCTTTGCGTCCCGATTCAATCAACTAATTAACTAATATACCACTGTTTTAATTTTCTGTCAATATACCACTGTTTTAATTTTCTGTCAATATACCACTGTTTTAATTTTCTGTCAAATATACAACTGCTTTATTTTCTGTCAATATACCACTGCTTTAATTTTCTGTCAAATATACAACTGTTTTATTTTCAGTCATTTATATTCTTGTACATATTATATATTTTGTATATTATTACTATCTTGTAAATATTCAACACTTGTACATTCTTCCAAAAAATACATAATAAAATATCGAAACCATTAAAATTTAAATTGGTGGACTGTTGATCATATATCTTGTATATTATCTATTTCTTGTATATATTCGAATTTATCTCATCTCTTTGGCAGGTTATCAAATCTCTTCAATAAACAAATAATTCTTTGTATTGAATTAAAGAGAGAGGATTGGGTGTAGACCTCTTCCTCTTCGAGTGTTGGGATGCCCACTGTAGTGAGGGTGGTTTCGACACTCGTCTTTCAATACGAAGACGCTTTCATCCTTTGTCTCCTAAAACCTCGGTTCCGTACCGAGTCCATTTTCAAACCATCTTTAAAATTAATTTTTCTTTGAATTGAATTAAAAAAGAGAGGATTGGGTGTAGACCTCTTCTTCTCCGAGTGTCGAGATGCCCACTGTAGTGTGGGTGGTTTCGACACTCGTCTTTCAATACGAAGACGCTTCTAAACTTTTCCTCCTAAAACCTCGGTCCCGTACCGAGCACACTTTCAATAATGAACTAATTTCTCTTTGTATTGAATTAAAAAGAGAGGATTAGGTGTAGACCTCTTCCTCTCCGAATGTTGGGATGCCCATTGTAGTGAGGGTGGTCTTGATATTCGTCTTTCAATACGAAGACGCGACTTTATCCACCATCTCGCTTTCACAACTTCCTTCCACATTTTTTCACACCTAAAACCTCGGTCCTGTACCGAGTGCATTTTCAAATCTTTTCATAACAAAAACTTGAATGGTCGTGGAGTGGTTAGGCGTAGGCCTTCTCCTATCCCGAGTGCTGACGTTTACCGTAGGGTTCTCTGTTGCAAAGCACTTACCATTCAAAACCAAAAACATCTTTAATAAGAGAATGAAGTTCTCTTTGCATTGAATTAAAGAGAGAGGATTGTGTGTAGACCTCTTCTTCTCCGAGCGTAGGGATGCCCACTGTAGTGAGGGTGGTTTCGACGCTCGTCTTTCAATACGAAGACGCCTCGTTCGCCACACCCTTTTATAACAAAAACTTTGAGATAAAGAATTGGGTACTACCCGTAAGGGGTTACTATCCGAGGACCTATCTCGCCCCCTAAAAAACAATTCAACCAATCAAACGTGACACCTTGCCTCGCATGGCGAAAACCAGTCTCCCAAAGGATATGTTACGTCCGTTCTACCGCAAACAGGTACGCATAAGTCTCCAAACGAGCGAGCAGCAAAACACCTAAACTGCTAGAATGCGCATGATGACATCATCCCCAAACACACCGGTTATCCGCACCGTAGGCACGAACTACGTTGCTCTGATTTCTCTTGCATGTTGAGAATACGTAGGCATAGGATTGCAATATCCTAGCGAGCACCCTTTTTCTTTTTCACCCTTTCCCAGAAAGGCATGCTACGTCCGTTCTACCGCAAATAGGTAACGCCTAAGTCTCCAACGAGCGAGCAGCAATACACCTAACTGCTAGAATGCGCACGATAGCAGCGTCTACCAAGACTTCCCCGCACACCGTAGGCCGAACTACGGCTGCTCTGATTCTTTACTTTTTCAAGTAAAGATACGTAGGCACAAGGGCCACAATCCTTGCCGAGCACATATTCCCCCCATATCTGTAGTTCCCCGAACTACGTCGACTCTGACTTTCTCACATCTATTGAGAATACGTAGGCATAGGACTGTGAAGTCCTACCGAGTCTGTTCTTTCTCTCTTCTTACCCGTTACCTCTCTTTCCCTGTTTCTAACCCTTTATCTCTCTCCCTTTGGAACACACTTTTATAGCATAATATTTTAGCAAATATAATCACACGTCGACAAACAAAAGGTTCCCATCGAGTACGATGGATGCGAGGGGTGCTAATACCTTCCCCTTGCATAACCGGCTTCCGAACCCGTTCATGGTTGCGAGACCATCTTATCCATTCTTTCTTAAGGTTTTCTTGATATTTTCCTTTCCCCTCATGGGATAAATAAAATTCGGTGGCGACTCTTCTCTCTATCTTTTTCGCCTCCCCGTCGTTGCGCGATGAATTTTTCGAGTAGCGACACACCTCATAGTAATTTTCACCTGCACGCCTGTAAATAAGTAACCATTTTAATGTTAGTTTATGTAAACAGTTAGCCATTTAAAAGTAATGTTCAACAAATCAACCATGTTACCTCATAATACATTAGGTATACTCTAATTTCTTCCAGCGTTGTCATAATAGGCTTGGGTCTAGCAGCTACAAATACATAATTGAAGGCCTCTGATATATTATTAACCAAAGTGTCACAACTTAAACTTGGCTGGAACCTTGATTTGCTCCAGAACCTAGGTGGAATTTTGATGAGGTGTTTGAAGGCCTCTTCATTAACTCCTTTGATTTCAAGCATTATTTTCTCCCAAGCATTAACATAACTTGCACATGCAGCCCTCCACATCAATTCATTTAATTTTCGGCCAGGGAACTTTTTCCTGAAGTTACTATACAAATGTCTGCAATATAAAGTAAGTGTAAACCAAATAGGTCAACCAAGTATGTCATAAGAACTAAGTATGTCATATTCAACATGTAAGTAAACAAAATACCTAACACTGAATCTTCGGTCAACATTATCAAGTAATTCATCAAGAGTTGGCAGTAAACCATGCATCCATAAATAAGTAAGAATGGTGGTAAAAATAAAACAATTGGCTAACAATTACATTTCAAGGTGAGATTTTAAAGCCTTTTGTTGATCACTAATGAAGGTATAGGTTCTGCACAACCTGACTCCTCTCAAATCAGGTGTCAATAACTCTAGAAACCAGCTCCATGAATCTTTAGTTTCACCCTCAACAACAACATATGCAATTGGAAGCATTTAGTCATTTGGGTCCCTACCAATAGTAGCTAGTATTTGTCCTCCATAGTATCCCTTTAAGAAACAACCATCTAATCCTATAATAGGCCTGCATTTGGAAAAAAAAATGTCCTTGAAAGCTTTGAGACATACATACATCCTCTGAAAGTGAGGATTCAATTTAGTAGAGTTTTCACTACTTTCCCCTTGAACTGGTGGCTGACTTGTAATCTTCACAGTTGATCTTGGGTTTGCCCTCAAGAGTTCATGGCCATAATCATGGATTCTTCTATGCTGCTCTCTAAAAGAACCATCTACAATATCAACAGCTAGTGTTTTAGCTCTATATGTCACTGTCTTGTTAATCCCAGCATTCAACTTTTCATGTGTCTTTTCCATAATATCAGTCAACTTCAAAGCTAGATTCTCTCTAACACTTGTTTGAATCTTCTTTCCTAACCATTTGGAATTGAGGAACATAATCTTATAATCCCTACTACATGTATGCTTGTCCATAATTGTCCTAAAATTCTAAGTCTCCTTACCTATATTTGCACAGTAAGCCTCCCATGGGCAACCGGCCTTACATTTCACTCTCATTCTTGCCTTATCATTTTTTTGTAAATTTCAAGTCCCTTCCTTCCTAAATGGCATATGTTCTTATTGCCTCTTGAAACACCCCATTTGTAGAAAAGTATGTACCAAGTTCCCATTTGTAGTCTTCCATTCTTTTTGGAAGCTTAAAGGTTACAAAATCATCCTTTACAACCTCATCATTCTCACTGTCATACTCAATTGGCATTTTATCACTGTCATACTCCTTAATGCCACCTAAACCTCTCAAATTGTCCAGATTTATCTCACCATCATTATCATCACCTACATCCTTAACAATGGCATTTTCCTTTCCTTTCCCCTTCTCTTTCCCTTTACCTTTCCCCTTCCCTTTTCCCTCCCTTTTCCCCTTACATTTCCCATTGCCTTTTCCCTTCTCCTTACTTGTTGCATTCACTTCATCCTCATCAATTGATATCTCTCCATCAATACCTATATCATTATCTAATTCTTCAAAATTAACATTCAAAGCACTGTCATCACTTCCATCTTCTTGGCTACAGTTAACTACCTCATCTTGTTCTTGGTTGCAATTCAGTCCTACATTGATTTCATCTCCTCCAACATTCATCCCTACATCCACATTCTCCTCCATTTCATAGGCGGTCCTCACATCATCCATATTGTTATAGTTTGTCTCCTCTTGACCCACATTCTCCTCAGTTTCGCAGTTGGTCCCCACATGACCCACATTTTCCTCAATTCCAACACTCTCTTCAATCCCAACATTCTCCTCAACTTCATCAACTCTTGTCCTCTCTTCCACCACATCTTCACCCAGTGTAGCCCCACCTTCATTACTTCCCTTTTTAATAAACTTCACCAACCACGTCTTCAGCCATTGTGGCCCCATCCTGATTATTAACCATATTAGGCCCTTCACCACACATATCTCCATCCAATATGCTCATATCTGGTAGTGACAGTATGGCATCCTCAATAACATCAGGTTCAGATACAGGATGTGTAACATACAAGTGACATTCTCCAGTTAATACTGCAATTGTTCTCATCCTATCAGTCCCCTTATCATTTTCTAACTGAACTATATTATTAGTAATCATCTAACCCTACATAACCTGACTTGGTAAAATTTGCAAACTCCCTAGAAAACTCACCAGAATGATGAACAACACACTTAAACCTACTCTCCATGACCTAATCAACCTACATATAGTATCAGAAGTACTAAGTAAATTAGGTATAGAAGAAAGTTAACATTTTTTGAATCGTATTTGTGCAAGTTTGTACCTTAAGGCTTTTTCTGCAGACAAATGAAATAATGAAGTTCTTCTTCTTCGTTCTTCTTCAATGGAGGGTTCTTCTTCTTCGTTCTTCTTCAATGAACTTCGTCTTCAAACAAGTGTTGGTGTTCACAATGTAGCTGCTCTTTGAACCTGAGCTTTCATCCAACAATGTAAGCATGTCTTAATACATTTCATCTCCTTAAAATAAATGTTAAGTGTTATACAAAATCCACCTCAGCCATTAAAATAATTACAAAATATCAAGTCATTTAAAGTCCAGTAGTACAATTTTTAACGTTTTTTCAACCAAACCTAACAGAAAGGACTAATATACTTAACGAAGTATGAGTTAGTGGACCATAATGTAACGTTTTTTCTCAAGAGACCAAAGTGAAACAATGACTAAAGTTAATGGACTAAAAAAGGTATTAAGACAAATTTTTATATAAGTTTTGTTATACTCACTTATTATTTTTAAACATGAGAGAATTTGTTTCTTCTTGCTTTCAATATAAGAGAAAAAATGCTTCGACTAGAGCGACTTAACAATATGAAAATACACAATAATTATCTTTTTTAATTAATATCTAATTTTTATTAAGAAATTAAATATTCACATTTTATATTTTAGCAAATTAATGTATTAGAAAATAATCATTGTTTGACGCGTCGGTTTGCCATTAAGCAAAGTTAGGGTGAAATTTTGGACTCGCCAATAGTTATAATCATCTAAGTTTATTCGATTTACCAGACTAACTTTTTGGCGAACTTAAATGAAACCATGTCTTCCTAAAACCTAATTTAACTAATAAATATTAACTCAAATAAGAAAGTACTTCCATGAATGAAGCCAAATTGACATTACAAGTTTTTGTTGATGACAAATGTTTAATGATAGATATTGTTCAAAACTATGGTGATCTATTTGAACTAATATTTTAATTATAAATATAGTAATGCATTAAAAAATTAGTTATCAAACAAGAAAATGATAAAGTTAGTCAAAAATTAGTTAGAGAAACATTCTTTATAATTAGTCTATATCTATCCACGTCTCTAACCTTCTTCTCTTTCCATCCTTGAAAACCCAACAGAGAGAAAATAAAGGGAGAGAAATTCTCCATCCCAACAACCACCTTCCCCTCCGGAAACGCATCTTGTCCTTTTTTTCTGTTACCAAAAACACACCATGAACACCAAACACAGCAACACCACTCAAGCTTGTGCTGCATGCAAATACCAACGTAGAAAATGTGCACCTGATTGCATCTTAGCGCCTTATTTCCCTCATGATCGTCATAGACAATTCATCAATGCTCACAAATTGTTTGGTGTTAGCAACATCAACAAAATCATTAAATATCTCGATCCTCCTCACAAGGATCAAGCCATGAGAACCATTATTTTTCAATCTGATATGCGAGCCAATGACCCTGTTGGCGGGTGTTACAGATATATTCAAAATCTTCAAGCTCAGATTGAATATCATAAAAATGAACTCGATCTTGTTCATCAACAACTCGCGATTCTTCGAGCTCAACAATCTCAACAACAACAACAACAAGATAATTATGGTGATCAAGTTATTATGAATCAAGATTCTTTGTTAGGGTTCTATAATCCATCATCGGGATCTCTTGCGCCGGCTCATTATCATTACAATATTCAACCGCAACAAGATTTGCCAGAAATAAAAGAACCGGAACAAGACCAATACATTATGATGCATGATAGTAATAGTAGTAGTATTAATAGTACTTCTCCTCCTTTACAACAAAATGTTAATAATTGGGGGGCTATGCAAAATTCTATTTCTTTATCATCTTTGTCATTGCATGGACAAAGTAGTAATGCTAGTGATGATTATGATCATAAGCCAATTCTTGACATTCCTTGTGATGAAAGAAACGAACTAGGGTTTGATTCCGTAGAAATACTTCAGCACAGGTATAATTTTTGCCTTTTCTTAATTAATGGTGTGTTTGATATATATGCGATGTAAAAAGCCATGCATAACGTATAAAATGATGAAGTTTTTGGAAAATGATTTGCAGTGATGAAGCGGTTTTGTTTAATATAGGCAATGGAGTGATTAAAGAAGAAGGTGATTACATTCAACAAGTTCAAGTTGGAGGTGAAGGTGAAGCACAAGATCATGATCTGAAAGGTGCTGCAACATTGTTTACTCTGACAAATTGTAATAGTTATGATCAGAGTGTTAATTAGTAATAGATTGTAGAACATACTTTTGAGGTTAGATTAGGGTTACGTATGTGATTTTCTTAATTTTGATCTTAATGCTGGTTCTAATAGTGCTTTAGTTCCTTAATCTCTCATTTCATTTTGATTACGTAAAGAATGGAACAAATTTTGACCAAGCTCTGTGATAATATACCATTCGCAGTTTTTCTGTGTAAAAATTAAAAGTTTGTGATCTTTATTTCTTAAAGTCTAGAGGGTTAGAAGTTCCTTAAAAATTAGAAGTTTAGAAGATTATGAGAAACTATAACCAACATCAAAACAAGTTTAGAAGATTATGAGAAACTTTAACCAACATCAAAACAATGGATTGAATTTGGTATGTAATAAGAATAAAGTTTAGAGGTTGCGAAAGGTTGATTAGACTTTTTAAATTTTCTTTAAATTTTTATAGCGTGTTTGTATAAGATAATTGAGAATTTTAAGCTATTTAAATGATTCAATTGTAATTTATTTTTATTTTTTTTGGTTTGGATGAAATATTGAAATGATTAATTGTTAAATTTTTAGGATTATTTTCATAAATTTTAAAACTTTTGAGTCAAATTTAAAATATGAAAAAATAGGGATTTATTTGCAATATTTGAAAATTTGAAGAGATTAATTTGTAAATTTTAAAAATTATTAGAAGAATATGGATACTAATAGGTTCTATTTTATCATTTATAGCTTCTTCACATAAATCTGCATCGAGAAATGACAAGGCTTCTTGAAGATTTATTGGATCTTCTTCTACATTATAAATCGCATAATCAGGCTCAAAATCTTTAGCGACTCTTACTCTTTTACTTTGTCAAAGTTTTATTTCTACATTGTCGTCGCTTTCTGTGCTTCTTATCATAAGGGTGTGACTCGATTGAGTGCCCCCATTATCTTTTAATTTGAAAGGAATTTATCTTCATAGACTTCAGCATCATTTGATTCTATGATCACTTTTGCATTTAAGTCATAAAACCTATATGTCTTACTATTTGCTGCATACCCAATGAATACCCAATGAATACACATTCATAGGCTCTATTAGTGAGCTTAACTCGTTTCGGATCCGGAATTCTGTCATAAGGCAGACAATCTCGAGTTCTCAAATAAGACAAGTTTGGTTGTCTTTTCTTTAATATCTCAAAAGGAGAGATCTTACTTTTTGACCTATGAACTATTCAGGACATAGCAAACAGTCAATAAAATTTCCCCCTACTAGTGAGGTGCAGCATCATAATTCATCATAACTGCATCAACAATTTCAGTAAGAGTTCTATTCTTTCTTTCTTCTTTACCATTCATTTCAGGAGAATATGGAGCAGACGTCTCATGTACAATTTCATGTTGTTTATAAAATCCATTAAACAAACTGAAACAATATCTAATTTCCATATCACTATGAAGTCTCTTAATCTTGTTACTAAATTAAATTTCAACTTTATTAACAAATTTCTTAAACATAGTAATTTCACAAAAATATCATTTTTAGTGATTGTGTACAAATCTACCCAAATAGACGGACTAAACCTTGCCTTATTTAGAAGAAAACCTGAGACAAGATTCTTTATAATCTCTTAAGTATACATGACATCCTTCAAAATTAAAGTCTTTTTAGAGGTGGACATTATTCCACTTCTCTAATACCGACAACATTAGTAGTGTGGACAACTCCCAACAACACTTTCTTATTCGTGTATGTTTTAAACATTGCACGGTCATAACAGACATGACGAGAAGAGACAATGTCCATCCACCAACCATCAGATTCACCAATCATGTTGATTTTAGTGATCAAAGCAATAAATTGATCACTAATCAAGTTAACCTATGCATTAGGGGAAACACAAGATTTAAACTGAATCTTTCATTTCTTAATCATATGACTTGGTTTTTCACAATTGAAGCAAGCGAAAAACACCAGTGTCATTTCTTTATGGTGGTGATTGTTTCCTATCAATTTGAATAATTGGATCCCTTGAAGGGTTCTCGTTCTTAATTCAGTTCACAACATTGCGGTTATGATTTTTTAATCATTTGTCAAATGACTTCAGAACTACACCGATTTTTTTTTGTTATTTAAAACAACCAAAACTTTTCTTTTTGATCTTGTCTCTGAGATTCTTCCTTAACTCGAAGGCGAATAATCAGACTCTCAATTAAAAATTCTTTTGTTTTGTAGTGAAGCATAATTTTTTTAAAACTTTTAACTAGGAAAATTTTGTCAATAATAAAAGCAATTTAAAATTGTTAATCTAAACACATACCTTTTGTGATGATCTCATAAGAAAACTTTTGAAGTTCATAACATTGAGCCTCCACGCACCTTTCATTTATACCATCTGATACTTTAGGTAGCGACTAACAACAAACTTCTTTATTTCAACTTCCTCAGTATCATACTTCTAATAAGAGCCTCCTAAATCGGTTTCTCAGTATTGCAGATCATTTGCAAGTCCATTAAAAATATGATTTTGTAGAGATAATCATTCTCTTTCCATAAGGCGGTTTCTTTTCTGGGCTGAAAATCGTTCGTTTAAATATGTGCAGCAAATTCAGCTTCAACATTATTAAGTGTTTCATCTGAATCCACAGATTTCTTACAGTTAATTTGCTCGGTTGATCCATAAGGAGCAACATGAATATCATCAGTCAGAACGTTGACAACCTTTTTTCAAAAAATTGCAAATTTTGTTGCCAGCATTTGAAGTGACTTCCCTCAAACTTGAACAGTTTGTCAGAGACAACATCCACAGAAGTACCAATAATTTCCTCGGTAGCCATGGCAGTTTGAAGTGTCTTAAAATTATTGTTTCACGATTTTGAATCGGGTCAAGTCGTGGACTAGGTCATTCTCTTTAAGATGTTTCGCGACACTGCCCAAAGTTATGCAAAGCAGTCGAACTACCACACCGCCTCTAGGATAAAATAGCTCAATTCTATATTGTGATTATTACTTGCCCGATAGATAATGGTCTAGAAATACACCCTCTAATGATACAAAGATCATTTGAATGTGATATAAATACCACTAATAGTATCTAGTATAATGATCCGTCGTAATAATTTCTCAAATCAAGAGAAATTTCAATAATTCTCCAAAGAGAATTCAATAATGGTCATTTGACCACTAAAAATAATTTCTCAAACAAAGAGAAGTTCCAATAATTCTCCAAAACGAATTCAAAAATTAATACTTTTAATTTTTCAATTCAAATGAGGAAAAATTAACACAATTATCTAAAAGAGAATTCAAGAAAATACTTGAAAAATCAAGTAGAAAGAAAGGGAGACAAATTGGCGTTTCGACAATTCAAAAAACACATAGTTATGAGAGTGAGAAATGAAAAATTCAATAAATTTTTTGTATATTTTTAATTGAAATAAAGAATTTCCTTATATAATGAAGTGGAGAAAGAAATATATCTCACATTAGCAATGTGGAACGAATGAAATTTTTTCAACTAACGCACAATGTAAAACTTGACTTAAAAAACCTTTTCAAATTCATCTCCTTCTATTAGAATATTGACATAATGTTCCAACACCAATAAAATCTACACTCATCCCTTCATTTTTCGTCATCTAAAACACCATGTAACATATTCCTCAATTGTATCAATGATTTGCCAAAGTTCATTTTATCTTTCCATCATCTATTCCTTGGTCTAACAACAACATCAAATGTTCCTAAAACCATTTTATCTTTCAATTCCGCATGACATTTTCAGCTACATGGACGACATTTTCCATTCAATCTACATGAATAATTTACTCCAAAATCACAATTGAAAAGTCTTAATTCAACATTAGATCAATGGCCTAAGTAAAGCACAGATAGTAACCTTTTTTACATCATATATATCAGTTAAATTACATCTCTTCAGATTACCAAATTTCACACTTTCCACAGTGCCATGCTTCTAAATACTCCTGTATGGCCGAAAGAGGAAATGGCAAGACTATCCGTCAAAAGTTTTGCCTCTTATTTGAACTTTGATCACAGCATCATGTATATATCAGCCTCAACATCTAAGAGCCAGAACAAAATAAGTAATTTGCAGAATGTCTAACAAAATATGACAGATGTCGAAGATAATAGAACAAAAATGGTCTTAAAAAAATACTATGAGAATTCAAATATATATATATCTCAAGCAAGATATGCAACATATGATCAAACCTAGGTGGAAGTTTAACTGACACACGCAATTTCGATGAGAACATGGGGCTCTGCTTCCCGTGTGGTTTGAAATTTATTCAAATAGACCATAGACAGGGTTAGAGTGAAAAACACGTAGCCCACTCGGCAGTAAAACATGGAAGCTGCAATCTATTAACAAATAAAATCTCATGTAAGGTTTATTACCAGGCTGAAAAGAATGATAGACTCTTATGGGTCAGACTTGACAAGCTCCTCTACAGATTTTGTGTAATTGGCAATTAAATCTCTGAAATAGAAGAAAAACAACATGTATTTAGGATCTATGAACTTTACTGAACAGAGATATCTAATACAATTTGTAAACACCTTCGCTGATTTAGCAATTGCTCGCTTTCCTCTAGCTTCTTCTTCTGTCCCTCAACAGTCTGCATTAAAAAAGCAAAAAGCCCTCAAGTCAGGCAAAGAACCCCAGCTTCAAACTACTAGAAGATAAACCTAGAATTTTAATATTTCAAGGACAAACAACACATTGAGAAATATGACAGCAGACAAATCATTCTTCTTTTTGATAACATGAGTAATTATTGTTTAGCATGCAAATAGCATGTGATTAAAGAAAAAGGCAAATGGTTCAAGAAATCAGAAGTGGAAAAGCTTTCTTATGAAATGAAGCTTTTGAGATGAATAATACATGGAATACTTTGATTTCAATAAAAGCATTCTAAATCTTGATTCTTTAACAAATGCCTTATGGTAATGACTATTAGAATGACCTGGAAAAAAATTAAAACTCAAATATGACAATATAAGCTGCCAGAACTAAGGAGTATTAAAATAATATCCATTTAAAGGCAAAACACGCACAAGCACACATATATAAAAAAGAATTTAGAGTTAGTCCAAATCTTGATTTCTCTCACGTGAGCAGGAAAAAACATAGACTACGGCTTTTTTTTAAATGTTATTCTCTAACATCGCCTTCCTTGTCTGTATGTTACTTTACCAGGAAAAAAAAGCGGCTTAACATGCAGAAATTTCCGAGAGCCTTATTTTTTTAATCTATGCATTGCATCTTTTAAATCATATGTTTCATTCTTTTCCTGTTCTAATTATCAAGGTATGTCATATACCATGCGTTTCGGAGCTTTCTGTCCATTGAGATAATGATGCAAAAACAAATACGAGGTATAAGATTTTATAAAGAGCATAAGCAGAATATCTAATCTCAGTGTTTCAAAATCAGATGCTATAATCACAAGAAAAATCAATTTTCCGGCGATAAGATCATCAATACCCAATCTAAATACATTCATATAATAAAACTTTTGAATCAATACCCAAAATCCCAAATTGACTTTTTCACAATCTAGATTAACAGTATGACTGGATCAGCTTCAGCTTCCAATTCAAGTTTTTCGCGTACCAATGCAATATTACCGTAAATTTAAGAAGCTAAAACATGAAGCTCCCACGCCAACATGGGGTGACATCGAGGAAAGGGCCTCTGCCCAAACACACACTAAGTGGAGCGTGTAGTCCTTCGACAAACAGAATTGATGACCCGTGGGCGTCGATCGCAAAAGAGTTAGTTTTTAATAATTTGAAAGTACCTTTCTCCATCTTTCAAAACCTACCTCGCCTCACATGTCAAGGCTCAACGGTTTCAAGAGACGTGCAGAGAAATCTCACGTGAGTGATTATTACCATTAACTAATAACAAAATTAAGGGTCAAGATCTAGACTAACTCTAAATAATTACTCTTTAAGCAAAGTTACACCGCTTAATAACTTACTATATACATTGAACTTTATCAACTCAATTGTTGACTGTTGTATATTATCAATGATCAAGCACACAAAAATAGACTATATAAAAAGAGAGGACAACGAAAGGAAGTAAAGAAAGGGTTAAAGTTCGAGAAGTGGAAATACCATAGCTTTGGTGCTAATAGAAGCCGAGATTGAGTTTAACAGCTGCTGACACTTATCAAAATGGCTGCTCAATTCAGCAATCTGTAACCAACAAAATCAAACAAAACTAATATAACTCAGTATTCAAATAAATAACCCTACAACGAAAAAAACAAAATCGCAAACAACTTATACCGATGCATCTGATTGTTGATCTGGGTTTCCATGTTCAACAACCTCAGCCAAATTCTCCAACAACTGCATTCATAACAAGCAATTTTACCCTAATTAAAAACAATAACAAAAAAAATATAAATAAAAATTAGGGTTTTGGAGGGGTTTACATACATGTAAGAGATGGAAGTGAGAAGCGAGTGATTGGTGAAGATTCTGCTGTTGTTGCTGCTGCTGTTGTTGTGGTGGTTGTTGTTGGGGTTGTGGTTGTTGTTGTTGGGGTTGGGGTTGTTGGGGTTGGGGTTGTTGCTGTAGAAGTCGTTGTTGTTGATAAAGTTGTTGCTGTTGTTGTTGTTGGAGTTGGAATTGAGACTGGGAGGTTTGTGTTTGTTGAAAAGATTGCTGTTGTTGTTGAAGAAATTGTTGCTGTTGTTGTTGAAGATAAAGGGTTGGGTCTTGATTGGATTGGGAATGGGATTGAGATTGAGATTGGATTTGGGAATTGGAGTTTGGGGTAGGAATCATCGTCCAGGTGCCTCCGGGAGAAGAGTAATGATCCATTGCGATTCACTACTACGATTCTAGCTTCGATTCAATTACACTACAAGTTAATCAAACTAATCAAGTTTTGTGTATATATCTATATGAAAAAAATTATATATAAATTAATAGAGCAAATAAGCACTCCTAAGATTATTCAATAAGATAAGTAAATGATACTCGTAAGGTGAATGATTGTCGAAAGGATTTAAATGGGTCGGTTTGAGTTGGGTTTGTCTAAAATTAAAATTAAAATAATATATATAATATACTGATTTGGGAGAAGTAAAATAAGAGGATTTTTTAATGTATCATATATGTTATGGATTATGTGAAAAAATTAAAATGTCCCTTAAATTTTGGAAGTTTATCTCAAGATGCACCTTGCATCAACACTATAGCGTATTAATGAGTGTCGTTTTAGATGAATATTAAAAAAAATTTGGAGATGCATTGTTGAGTATTTTCAACAAATATAATGAAATTTAACAAGTCCAATGGTTATTACGAAGATGCATCTTCGAAAGTTTGGGGCATGATTTAAAATTTTAATAAACTCAATGGTTATTACGGAGATGCATCTCTAGAATAATTTGAAAAAACATAGAGTTGCATGATCACACAACCATACTTGTTTTTTCGCACAAAATCTTCACCAAAAACTTTTTCATTCTTAATTCACATTTTCACTTCAAATCTTCAATCTTGTGTTTCATCACATCAAAGGGGCAAAAGAAGTTGGAATTTCAAGTAAAGATCATTTATTTCAAGTTTCATTACTCACATTAAGCATATTTTTGTCATGAAAAACGAGCGTTTTTTCTAGAGATACTGTTGTGAATCTTGTTGTGAAATACGACAAAATTCAATATTAATTTGTGAGGCAAAGAACAATAGCAACCAAAATAAATGGTTTTCAGCAATACTAATCCGTACACAGATAATATAACAGAATAAGGCAAGAAAAAACCGAAGGTTTGTTTACCCAGTTCGATCAAACGATCTACTCCGGGGGGAGAGAGCAGTTGTTCAATTCACTATACTCAGAAAGTTGTTACAAAAGATTACAGATGAGTTACAAGAAAATAGTCTTCACCTTTAAGTTCCCAATAACAATTCTGAAGGCGCCCAACAATAACCTTATTTTCTACCCAAGGTGTAATCCAAGGTTTTCTTTGTGCATAGCTGAAACCATATGTTATACCTTTAAACCCTTGATCTCCTTTGTTGGTGAAAACTTTAAGATTGTCACACACCATGTATATAAGACATACATATTTATAATAGCAAATATCCAACAAACAAAGCCCAAAGTCACATGGATTCATGAGCCGAATAAAAAAAAACCCAAAAGCTCAAAAACATTATTCTTCGTACGGACGACACTATTCACCGGTCGTTTTTTTTCTCGACTTTCTAAAACTTCCGATTTTCACGGTAAATGCAATCTCTAAAATATGTTTTCTTTCTCTCCATCAACAAAGGTTTTAAGACACATTTACAACAGATACATTTCCACAACGAGCATGAACTCATCCGGAAATACATTTTCTCTATTTGTCTGTGTTCATTTTTTCCAGCTTTGTTTACAATATTAGCGCTTATTTACTATTCTGTGGTAATTATTTTTATTATATATGGTGCACCCCGATGTTTTGCTCAAACTAGTTATGTCTCACACTGTTAAAGGTATTGTTGTGAATGCGGTAGATGTTGGCAACCAATTTTAAAATGGGCAAGAGTTTGAATCTTGTGATCACATGCTTCAATGGATTCGTAGAGAGGCCTCCAAACTGGGATTTAGTGTGGTTATCGGAAGGTCTGACAATGGTTCAGATAGAATATATGCTTTTGTGTCAATGACGTGCAAAAGAAGCGGAAATTATAAATATCTTCTATGCAATTTTAAACGAGACGACACTGGTTCAATAAAATGTGAATGTCTGTTTAAGGTGCAGGGTTATATGTTGGTAAATAAAAACTGGAGATATAATGTCACGTGTGGTTTGCATAACCATGATCGTCAATGTTGAAAGTGGCAGTAATTGCGGTTATGGAACTGTTTCGACTTTACTCGATAAAGGAGAAGATAATCATACATTTGTTCGCCATCAACTTATCCAAGAGTTGAGGAATCATAAAGAATCGTACACACAGTTATATTGGGAAAAAGAAAGTGTTTCGATGAAGTTTATGAGCCTCTTATTCCTTGTCTTAGTGGACCAGCACCGGAGACAAAATGGATGTGTTTCCCTGTAATGGGCCACCTCATACCATGTGTGTATGATAGAGTATATGTTGATCTTACACGATACGGTTTTTCGAAAACCTTTTTTCCACTGCGTACCGCCCCACCTCAAAATCAAAATGATCGTATTGTGTGGCTTTCAAAATCACGACATTTTGTTCAAGTTTACTTGAAACCGACATCACTGAAATGGACGACTCATTTAACAACAAAAGTAGAGACTTGGTCAGACCATTTTGTGGAAAGGATGCAATAGTTCGAGAAATTGAGTAACATTGAAAGAGAATCAAATGCTCAAAATTTAAAGGGGGTGTCACCCATAGATTTAGTCATCGACAAATGTTTTGATTCGTTATCAATATTGATGAAGTGTAATACATTCAATTTCAAAATATTTTAATATAATTTTGTATCTTTTTAATAACATTTTTTCATTTGTCAAACAAAGTCTTCAAATAAGTTATGTTTTCTTCCTGGTTCAGGAGAGATTCCAAAGATGTATCTCCGGAACAAGATAATAGGGTGCGGAACTTGAGATATATCTTCGGAGTCAGCATGTCAGATTTTGAATGGTCCATATTTGTCTACAGATTCTATAAGTTAAGGTGATTTTGTTTTTTATTGCACACAAACTAAAAATGTCTTAAATGTCACAAATAAACATCATTTGGTATGTCGCAAATGTCTCTTTCTCCAACGTGACACCGGGGAGAAATTTTAAACTCACCGAGTACACATCTCTTACAGATCTGAAATACGAAGTTCTTAATCTCTTACCTTACGGAGACAATCGAAAAATTGTCAAGCTCGAGTACCGTTCAACGTCGATTGACAACAGATGGAAGATTGATTTTAGCAACTTTGAGCTCAAGACGGATGCAGATATAAAAGCTATGTGAAATACATATTTTCATTTCGAAAAAAAAAATTTCGCTCGAGTTGGAAGCGACGAGTTCAAGATTTGTCGTAGATATTATCAAGATGTTGAAGCGTCTACATGGATATTGAAGTGTAATGTTGTACTTTATGTTGAAATCACCTATGTATTGTTTATTTAATGTTAAGAATGTTCATTTTATTCTGTCAAATAACAAGTTTTTTTGTTTCTGCCTCTGCTAGTGTTTTGCATCGTTCCAAAAATGCATCTACAGACATATACTGAAGATGCATCTTCGGTATTAAAAAAAATCAAATAATAGGGTGTTCTCATAATAACCTATGTTGTGTGTGCATTGGATGCATCCGGAAATGCACTTCCAGAATTTGGTGCATGAGTAACATATAGGGTGCATTAACAAATCCTCTAAAATAATCACTCATAATATCATTAGAATGGTTTGGGTAAAGCCATAAATTTGTGGATTTGATTAGGTTGAGTGGTGGATCACCCAATTTTTTCCCTTTTTTTTCTTATATAATTATAAACCATGTGTCATATTCTTTTTCAAAAAATGCCCCAACTATTTTTTTTCTTGAAAAATACTTTAGTCATATTTGCGTTATTCTTTTAATATCAAATGTCTAAACATTCTATCAAATTTATAATAAAAATATTTGCCATAATCAAAATAGTAATTAGGTAGTACCTATAACTAGAATTACATAAGTTACTTTGAACTTACTAGTCTTACCATAAAAAATAATCAAAGTGCAATATCTTAAATAATTCAAAATTACGACTCATAAAATAAGAGTCTAAAATTGAAGCAACAAAGTACGAATACATCAAAATCATTATCAAATTACAAAAAAAGTCAAGAATATTATTCAAATATCCTCCACAACTCAAAAAGAAGTCCTGACTTCAACATTAGTATTTTTAACCAATTTGCCATGATAAAAATATAAATATTAGTTTATATATCAATTTATTAAGAGACGTAAAAACAAAAATATATAATAGTTAATGGTAAATTTTATGAGTAGAGTTCGTTGAATGGGTTGGGTCTAGGTTTACCTAAAACCCACTTATTTTGAAAGATTTTCATTTTCGAAAACCATATTGACATACTTAGACGTTTAAACCCACTTTTAAGATCGGTGTGTGTGTGTGAATTTGACCGGATTTTATAAGTTTGCTCAATTCTCATATATATATATATATATATATATATATATATATATATATATATATATATATATATATATATATATATATATATATATATATATATATATATATATATATATATATATATATATATATATATATATATATATATATATATATATATATATATAAATGTGAGAGATCGAAGATTCCAATTATAAAATAAAAGTGTCTTATAATGAATTATTATTTTCAATTTTCAATGCATTTTTTTCAATAATAAAAAAATACTTTAATTAAAATATTATTTTCTCTTTTTCTTTTACTCATTTTTTTAATCAATAAGAAATGGTCAATTGGGTTATGTGAGACGAATGGGAAATGGTTAATTGTGTCATGTAAGACCAATGTAGTAAAATGTTAAAAAGAGAAATGATCTCTTATAGGATAGGAAGAGAAAAACATTAATACAACATCTAACATGGATAACTTTTTGATCTATTTCAAATTCTACTAAAAGAAGTGCTAAAGATTTGGCCAAAGCCAATTGTAATTTTTAGCGCCTACATCTTTGCCCAAAATTTTTTTTACTAGATACAAGATTTTTTAAAAAGTTCTTCTTAAAACTACCTTTGTTATTTCTATTGAAGCATATAAAAGAGGCATTCATGGTTATTTTAAAACACTTAATAAGGATGAGGGGTCTAAACAATGTAAATAAAT